GTACAACTATCTATACACATTTTTATCCTTCTAAGTGGAGAGGAGGGCATGAAATGCTTCTAGTCAGTCAGCCATCTTTGAAGCCTCTCTTCTAATGCTGTATTTTCCTCACCACTCAAAACGCGAAGTGTATATTTATTGAAGGCAAATTTGAATTATTTCATTTGAATATAAACTGAGTAAAATGCTTGGAAATATTATCTTTCTATATATGCTCTTGTACTGAAATTAATTTGTAGCTTAACATCTGGTTCTAAACTTACTTTATTGGTCACAAAGGTAATTAGAAGCCAACTTCCTGGCAGCAGATACCAAAATATAAGCTATGGATAATAACAAGCTAATGAGGAAAGCACGCATTTCTGTATTCCAAATAACTTGCTAAAGAAAGAAAAAGCCAGATTCATTGTTCGCATTTCTTCTTTAAATTGTAAAGATACACGCATATGGACTACACGTCCTTAGTTTTTCCAGTTTTGGTTTTCTTCCACTTGTAAAATGATTCACACCTTGGAGAATTATAACTAGCCTTTAAAATATATATATATACACACACACTCATGTTTATATACATACCTAAAATATATAATGTATATATACTTACATATATCGTGTACATGTGTATATATATGTGTGTGCATACAGTATATATGTATCTATATCAAATGTGTATAGGCAAAGTTATGTGAAATATAACAAGTCATCAGATAGCAATAATGTTGTCATTTAAATCAGACTGTTTTAGAAAGTTGGAAATCAATCCTTGAAAGTACATTTTATGCAACTTCTATGTAACTTTAGCCCATAGTTTATTTCATAGAGAAAATGAACAATTTAAAATTGTTATTCTCAACTCTGAACTTATCCCATGGGAGAAGGAGAAATATTTGACCATGAACTTTCCAAAGCCATGGTCAATTTATTCACATCATATTTGGCCTGATCATGGCATTTGATGCTCTCTAGCCACTTTGTCATGTAAAAACATTCACTCTACTGTCTCCACCCATGAATGCCTCTTTAGTTCCATTGGGTTGTCACTGAATTAAACAGAGAAGGTTGCTTTCATTGCAAGTAATTAATATAAAAAGGTTTGGGATATCATATTCAATATATAAGATACTGAAGAGAGCCTTTTTCTTTGCCCCATGCAGTTTTTGGGACTTCCATCTTTCTGGTAAATGTTGGCTTAAGTAAACAGAATCAAGAGACAGATGACTATAGGGCTGTGCAAGAAAAAACCCCATTGCAGCCAGGCAGGGGAGTGGAGAGTGAGAGGGGAAAATCAGTGAGGATCGAGATTAAGGCTGGAAAAACAAAATGCAGCTAACTCATTGAGAAATTTGAATTCCAGGGTAAAGATTTTAGACTTTATCATATTAAATACACTTGATCTTCATTATTCAGGAATCCTGTAGTTACAAATTTGCCTGCTAGCTAAAATTTATTTGTAGCCCCCAAATCAATACTCATGCTGTTTTCACAACCATATAATGATATGTATTTGGGTCACCTGATACACATGTTCCCAGCTAATGCCGAATTAATGCCTTTCCTTCTTGTTTCAGCTCCCATACTGTACATGAGGATCCCTTCTCAGGTATATTTAAAGCCATGTTTTTAACATTTTTGTTCTTTTTCTTGGTGATTTCGTCTTTAAAATGAGCCATCAGGATGGTGGCTGAACTCTTGCATAAGGTTCTTATGTGAAAGAAAGTTTTAATATGCCTTATGGAGAAAATACATATGCTAGATAAGCTTTGTTCAGACAAGAGGTATAGTGCTGTTGGTTGTGAGTTCAGTGTTAATCAAGAATATGTATTAAATAAGATGTTTTTAAAAAGAAATATACATACACAATGTTATATATGGATCAATCAAAGAAAATATTGTGACTAGAGGCTTGCAGGAATGTAACCTTGCATTTTGCTTAGAAAGAATTACTCAGGGCCGGGCGTGATGGCTCATGCCTGTAGTCCCAGCACTTTGGGAGGCCAAGGTGGGCAGATCACAAGGTCAGGAGATCAATACCATCCTGGCCAACATGGTAAAACCCCATCTCTACTAAAAATACAAAAAATGAGCCACACGTGGTAGCACACACCTATAGTCCCAGCTACTCGGGAGGCTGAGGCAGGAGAATTGCTTAACTCGGGAGGCAGAGACTGCAGTGAACCGAGATCGTGCCACTGCACTACAGCCTGGGTGCAACAGTGTGAGACTCTGTCAAAAGGAAAGAAAGAAAGAGAGAAAGAGAGAGAAAGAAAGGAAGAAGAAAGAAAGAAAGAGAGAGAGAAAGAAAGAAAGACTCAGTATTCACTAATTCAGTGTTCTTGGTTATTTTATAGAAAATAACTGCTGTGATGAATACTAATTGCCTGTAACTTTTTTTTTTTCTAAATGCAAAGGAGAGTCACCAACAGGTTGAAGGTTGAAGACCATATAGCATGCATGTGCATGTCTTTTCACATTTTGATGTAAGACAAGAGATAGGTGCCTGCATGGTTTGAACAAAACTTACCTTAAGAGCTGCTCAAAACTCTGTTACATAGAACATTGCATTCTATAGTGGGTCCAGTATTTTTCCTAATTGTATAGAAGTGTGTGTGCATACACGTGCGCATACACACACACATAAACACATAAAATACTGCCCACATTAAACATGGGGACCCTACCCTGAGCTTCATGCTTTAGGGGACCCCGTTTTGGCCCTATTCCAGTATGCCGGTTCCATAATGTTTAGCAGTTCATGGGGCCAAGAGGATGTATCCATCTGGGGCTCATGCAATCACCTTACCCAATTCTTCCTAGCATACCCATCAGGTTAGAGAGCATCTAGATTCTCCTGTCCAAACGGACACAACCCCCTCTCTCTTTGCTTTGTATATCAACTTGGATGCTGGCAGTACTGCTGGTGTGTTCATACCTGGTCTGATGGGTATGTGTGGGATGTGTGGACAGAAGTTTGATGTGAGAACTGGATATAGGCATTTGTGTATCCCTGAAGTGATAGACAAAGATGGGACTGGGAAGCAAAAGCAGCAGCCATGGTCAGGGGCCAGGAGTCAGCAAATGGCTCTCCCCAGCCTGCCGTGTTCTAGAGAGGAATTTGAAGGGGTCTAAACATTTCAAATTTATATTTGAACTTCTAAGACTTATTTTTTATGGGAGGAGAATAATAGTTATTTTATTAAGTTATTTATTAACTTGATTTATAGTAAATATTTACAAGTACCTATGCTATAGGGGGCTCCATTTAGTCTTACCCTGGCCCATAAATGTTATCGGCCACTCTGTACACATGTACACACACAGACACATACACACACACACACATCTGCCCTAATTTAACTAGATGTAGCCATTTCTATAGCTGTATCATTAGTTCATTCAATAAATATTTCTGAGCACCTTTTGTGTGCCAGGCATAGTTTTAGTCACAGACAATTGAAGACTAGACATAAAGAGAATCCCTCCATCCACAGAGCTCATGATTTAGTGCAGTAGTTCTCAATCCTGGAATCACATTAGAATTTTCTGAAAAGCACATTAAAAAATCTGATACTGGGTCTACATTTGATCTCATCCCAAAACCAATTATCTGGGGATGAGGCAAAGGCATCAAGTTTTTTTTTTTTTTTTTTTTTTTTTTGGGGGGTGGAGTCTTGCTCTGTAGCCCAGGCTGGAGTGCAGTGGCACCATCTGGGCTCACTGCAACCTCTGCCTCCCAGGTTCCGGTTCAAGAAATTCTCTTACCTCAGCCTCCCAAGTAGCTAGAATTACAGGCACAAGCCACCATGCTCAGCTGATTTTTGTATTTTTTAGTAGAGACAGGGTTTCACCATGTTGGCCAGTCTGGTCTTGAAATCCTGACCTCGTGATCCGCCTGCCTCAGCCTCCCAAAGTGCTGGAATTACAGGCGTAAGCCACCATGCCCGGCCAGCATCAAGTATTTTTTAAAGTTGACCAAATAATCTCGATGTGTGGCCAAGATTGAGAACAGCCATTGCTGCATACTAACAACCACTTAAAAGGTGCTTATTCCATGTCAGTCGTAGTTTTTGTTAACAATTTTATTGAGGTCCCCATTTCTCCTTTCCCCCAGCCCCTGGCAACCACCATTCTACTATCTGCTTGGTGAGTTGACTATTTTAGATAGTTCATATGAGTGCAATCATGTAGTATCTGCCATTTGTAACTGGCTAATTTCAGTTTGTGTAATGTCCTCCAGGTTCATTCATGTTGTAACAAATGGTAGAATTTTTTTTAAGGCTGAATAATATCCTGTTATGTGTGTATACATTTTAAAAATCCATTCATCAGCCAATGAACAGTTGGCTTAGTTTTAAGCACTTTACATATAGTATCTGTTAATTTCCACAATAAACTTCAGGACAATGTAACATTATTATACACTATATTTCCTGTGTGTTTCCTATATGTTCCTGTAACATTATTATACATTACAGTTCCTGTGACTCATCAGGAAACTGACAGACCTGGAAAGTTAGGATTCAGCGTTCCTGTTCTTAACTGTTACTCCAAGTTTCCTCTCACCACACCTGGTTGGTCCAGGTGTGGACCCTTGACTCAAGGCAATTAGTGCTTTTCCCTAGGAATTGTAAGCGGCAGGAGTGGTGGAAATGGGGAGCTAGGAAGGTGTAGAAGGAATAATGTCTCCTTGTGAAGGAAAATTTTAGAGACCATAGATAAAGCTGTTATGAGTTGAGAAGCATAGCTCATGAACACTGTAAGCACCCAAGACCTTATTTTAGCTATTTTTAAGGCCCAGTGAGATCCCCTATCTTCTTATAGCTTGGCTTTATATACTGCAGTTGAATTCTATTAACCATCAAATTCCCATTTTGCCTAAATTAGTTCGAGTTGGGAGTCACTTGTGAATTAAAATTTGCTAATACACAGTTGGTATTAGTCCATTCTCACACTGCTACCTGAGACTGGACAATTTATGAAGAAAAGAAGTTTAATTCACTCACAGTTCTGTGTGGCTGGGGAGGCCTCAGAAAATTTATGTAATCATAGCAGAAGCGAAAGCAGGCGCGTCTTCTCGAGGTGGCAGGAGAGAGAAGCAAGCAAACGAGGAACTTGCCAAACACTTATAAAGCCATCAGATCTCGTGAGAACTCACTCACTATTACGAGAACAGCATGGGGGAAACTACCCCCATGATCCAATCACCTCCCACCAGGTTCCTCCCTAAACACCTGGGGATTACAATTTAAGATGAGATTTGAGTGGAGATACAAAGCCAAACAATATCCATAGTCCATTGGGTATATTCTCCAAATGCCACATTTAAATGACTTTATCATGAACTCTACATCCATAACTGCAACATGACCTGAGATATATCTTAATTTGTGATGTTTAGACAGTAGCCTAAGTCTGCACTGTAAGCAGCAATGTCTTCAGTAGTGGCTGATTCTTTTTGTGAAATTAAAATCTCTCAAGAGTGACTGATGATGCTCATGGGATGCTGGACTTCCCATAATGCCATCCTGTCAGTAAATATTTTAGCCCTTGCTGAATCCAGGACCCTGAGAAATGTTCTACCCTAGGATTTGATTCTATATATGGTCAAGAACATATACAACATACGTCTGCATTGGATCTTTTGGTGTTTTTTTGTTTTGTTTTAATTTTGGATGAAAAGCTCTCAGCATATTAATTCCAGAATATACACTGAATGACATCAAGCCAATCCTTGTACATTAAGGCTGTTGTATGCAGCATGGAGTCTAATTAATTTAGAATTGTATAATGTATTAATTTGTTTCCTGATGGCATTTAGGAGTGATTTTAGACTACATACCCTTGCTCATGATTTTTTAAAAAACAAGATTCTGTCAACCCTAGATAATGCCATTTTAGATAAACAGTAAAATGGGAAAGAGATGAGCAAGTCTTCAGTGGAACATGTATTTAGTAGTTCAAATATACTCTGATAACTTTATCTTCTGTCACTGCATGACAAACTATAAGAGTCCAGAAGATCCTGTTATAAATATGAAAGCACGGGATCCCATGGTATTTATAAAGCCTCCGAAGTATTAGCTTCATTCTGGCTCCATCCTACTGACCTCTGGTATTGTAATCGTCATCATTTTCTTCTTTCTATAGACCTCTCCCCCAGTACATTACAATTTTATTTGTATTTAAAGCATTATCTGTATTTTACTGGTCACCTTTAAAGACTGATATTCCAAAGGGGCTTATCTTTGAACCTTGTGATCTATGCAGGCTGTAGTGAATTAAAGCATGAATTTTCTCTCTGACTGGCTTAGTGCACTAGGAATCAATGCACTCCAGCAGGTGGCAGCAAAAATAAATAAATAAGCTAAACAATGAATTATAAAGACCCAGAGAAAGAGGGCTTCTTATTTAAACTTTATTGCAGTTTCTCAACCTCCTGTCTTTCTCATTTCTGTTCATTTTCTCTGATTTTGAAAATATGGAAGAATTTATTTGTTGATGTAACAATATGAATTTTAATTTCATTGATGTGGAAGAATTAGAAAGGATAGAAACCCAGTTTTATTTAATTGTTTGCAGTTTTCCTGCCTTTGTGCTTATCTGCCTCCAAGGGGGTGTTTGGCAAACCTTCCAGGTGACGCTAAAGACAGTATCTCATCTTTGGCTGCAATGAAAGCTGGAACTCATTAAGGGGATTTGTGTGGGTGATTCAGAAGAGGTAGGAGAAGGAGGTGTTTGGGAGGTATAGAAAGTAGAGATTTCCCAGGACTAGGGGCAGGAAGGCTGCAGGTTTTGGGCACAGTGGGTACCTGTGATCCCCTCCCCATGTTATGAGAGGGTGAAGGCAGAACGCGTGGGCTTGGATGTTGCTAAGTGTCAGGGGAATCAGGGAGGATGGATAATTGGAGGGGCCATTCCAAATATTTTATCCCACAGAAGATTACTGGGATCTTCATCTGAACATAGGGTAGGAAAACCCCCAGAATAATAACAAAACTGTCATGATAACTCAATGTGATATGTATTCAGATTCAGAGGATATAAAGTTGAATAACATTTTAGGCCCTCAAGTTTCTAGTACAGGTTCTTTCTTTGCACGATCTTAGGGTTTTGTTCTGCAGAAACAACTTGTTCCATAATGGTTAGTATTGCAACTTTGTCCTAGAAACTGCCTTTCTTGATGAAAAGTGGAGATATTTCCAGCCTTTTATTGTGTGACAGGAGCCCCGTCCTGTCCTATCCTAGGTGACTAATACAAATTGAAAATCAAGATACGTAAATCAAGATATGAAAACCAAGATATGTATCAACAAAGCTTAAAGATACATTAAAGACATCTATTTTGGTCGTATAGAAATATAGGAAAACAATGAATCACACAAGCCTTCTGAAAACCCACTGTGAATGCTTCTCATAAAATCTTAAGACCAAGTAATTTACAGTCTGAATCGCACTCTGAAATCTAGCCAGTAGAGGGCAGTCAAAGAGTAGTTCATAGAATTCAAGGGCTCCAGGCTCTTTCCATACTTCTTGCAAATTCCTGCCAGTAAGCTTTTCTGAGTTTAAAAAGTCAAGTGCGTTAATTATATCATTTCTGGATTCTGGATTCGTGTTACCATTATAAGAACTTTCTCCTTACAAGTGTTGGTTTCCTTTAAATTATCCAGGATCTGAAGTTGGTGAAGTCTTATTAGCTGGATCTTCCTTAATTTAATGTGCCCTAAATTGCTTTTTATAAGACTCACTGCAAAACGGAGAATAAAATTATTTTTTCTATCTGTGAAAAGTCTGAATATAATTTAGAAATGTTGAATGAAGGATTTATCTACAGTGGGAGTGAGCATAAATATAAGGAGTTGCCAGTAAGGAAAGATAAGTAAACCTTCCAGTGTTTAGAATCATATCAGAAAAGTCAAACTCTTGGTTTTAATTTCCAGTTGCTCAAACTACTAAATCCCCTGAGAAACAGTGGGATGGAAATGCCCTTTTGGGAAGAGTTTCTGGTGCTTTCAGGGGAAAATTGTACAGAAATAGGCATGTTTGCTGCCTTGCAGCCTCAAGTCATTCTTAATTCATACCCAGCCTGCCCCCAGGAAGCGGTGAGTCAGTGATGCATCAGAACCAAGAACTTCACATGAACACGTATGAAGTTTAGTTTTAAAAATGGGTGAAAGTTCAAGAGTGACGTTTTTTCAATTTTTTCAAAACTCGTTTCCATATTTTAGTTGGAACAGAGGTCAAGCAACATTAGTGTTCAGTTCCATCCAGCAAACAGTTTATTGCCTCTGCATGCACCGGACCCTGTACCCATCATGAATGGAGGAAGGAAAAAGAATGCCACCAGGATGAGCAAGCGCCGTTGTGGAAGTTGTTGTGAAGGATACTTCCTTCTCTCTCTTAGGAAATGTGATGCTCTTGACCATTTTCTGTGCCTCGGTCCTCCATTTGTGCTCTTGCCGCCACTCCACCATCCAGCCCAGTAGCATCAAGGTCACCTGGACACTTGTCAGAAATGCAAACCTGTGGTTTAACAAGGCCTTCCAGGTGATTCTGCTGAGCACTCAAGTTTGACAACTAAGCTATTCACCCTGGGCAGGCAGATTAATTTACTTGATACATTTGAGGACGGAACTGGGCATGCTTAGCTCCCCCACCCTCTTCTTCCTGGATGAAGTGTAGCACGGAGCATGGCTTCTCAGCTGTTCCTCTAAGCAGAGGCTCTTTCCACCCGTCTGGAGATTTAGATTCTAGAGTTCGGTATCACATTTACGTGCAGATGAAAGTCACATCTTTCAGCCTAGTTTTGTCAGTAATAAAGATAATATTTTGGTTTCTACCAGTCCTATTCCTTGTCTTATCTTTTAGTAGTTAAGAATGCAGGCAGGGAAGAGGGATTCGTTAAATGAGTCCCTTCAGGACTCCAGTGAAGTTCAGGATCTGGCGGAGGGGATGGATTTACATAGAAGTAGGTTTACAATAGTGTACATTTCATAGTCGTAACGTAATTCCCACCTCTAAAAAGCTTGTCTGTCTCTTGGTAGGATGTTATCTTTTTTTTCTCTTCGTTTTTTAATATATATTCTTTGATTTCAGAAAGAGCAACTTTATCCATATAGCAAAATTTGACATTTTATAATGAACAAAATACAGAGCTAATCAGATATCATTTAATTTAACAATGTAGTTCCAAAATGTTATCAGAAAAGTTATAGGGGCCGGGCGCGGTGGCCCACGCCTGTAATCTCAGCGCTTTGGGAGGCCGAGGCGGGTGGATCATGAGGTCAAGAGATCGAGACCATCCTGGCCAACATGGTGAAACCTCGTCTCTACTAAAAAAAATACAAAAATTAGCTGGACATTGTGGTGTGCCCCTGTAGTCCCAGCTACTCGGGAGGCTGAGGCAGGGGAATTGCTTGATCCCAGGAGGCAGAGTTTGCAGTGAGCCGAGATTGCACCACTGCACTCCAGCCTGGTGCCTGGCGACAGAGTGAGACTCTGTCTCAAAAAAAAAAAAAAAAAAAAAGAAGAAAAGAAAAGTTATAGGATGGCTCCATTTAATATTCATGTAAATATATTGTAAATTGATAACTCAGAGTGATTTCAATGATTTCTTTTGGAATCTTTGCATTATAAACAAAGCACAGGTTTTACCTGTAGCTGAAAATTAAAATTCCTGTTTCTCTTCTCTTTACTTACCTCAGTCTTTCCCTCCCTTACTGCCTGATTTGTGTTACTTTTCCTTGTCTACCACAGTCATCAGAGGCCCCTTCCTCCTTGAGTGCCCATAGAACTCATGTCTTGGTCTTCTTTGCTGACAGTTTGTGCTTCTGATTTATTCATGTTGTTTTCTCAAATTCTTTCTGAATATACAACATCTAACTCTCCTTTATAGTCTCAGCACCACCATAGAGGGTGTATACATACATGTTGATTATAATATTAATTTCTTATACATTTTTAACATTTTTATTTCTGAGTGTTTAAGAAATGATTCGTTTTAGTTACAAAACTTTTATATACTCTATTATAGCATTTTAACTCATGTATTGATTTAACCTTTGAATCTGTCATTTAAAAATGTCTCATAG